AAAAAAAGAAACTGATGTTGAAACAAATATAATATGATGAAACCAAATATGATTATGAATCGATATTTATACTTTTCCTTGTAAAAAAGATTGTATGCACCGCAGTACCTGTCAGTGTAAAAGGGAATCGCACAAGTTGCGAAGTCTAACCATTATTATTTCTTCTTCGGTAAATTTTGCTCACGCATCTACCTTGTTCTTTCCCACCTGACGTTTTATTCCTGATCTTTGTCTTGAACTTTGTGCTGATAACTAAATTTAGGGAAGTTTTTAACGTTAAACTATAAAATAAGAATACCTCGGGCTACAAACTTCTCTCCTTACCAGCATATGTTATCGCTTTACTCCTTCTATCATACCAGTTTTAGTTGATATTAACGAATTTGTTATTATGTAACTGTTTGCTGTACAATATATATATATATATATTTATATACATATATATGATTTCGAAGTATATATATATATACATAACTTATATTTATTTAGATTTATGCATGGACCAAGTACGAGTCGAAGTAAAACGAACGGAGGACAGATTTCTGCTATTCTATTACTTCACGTTATTTTTATTTTTTTCTTGTAGTTTGTACCATTTGTGCGGTCGCAACAAAGATATATATATATATAAACCGAAAATCCGGTCACACGAGACAGTGGGAACAGAAGCAACAAGTATAAATTATACCAAACTTTTATTGTACCTTATGGAATAAGAAATATATTGTTAAGAATTGAACTAAAAACATATAAACTAAATGTACACTAAGCTTCTAACAATATAAATATTTTTGAATTTGTCAATTTCTTCTATTGTGGATCAGGCGCTGTGCGTGCGTAACCCAGCCTTTGAAGAGTAATTTTAATATCTTTGTAGACAGTTGGATCTTCCACGGTTCCGGAAATCTGAAACGCTTCAAATACGAGGACTGAAGCATTTAGAAAAAATGTTATACACACCTTCACGGTCTTGTTTCTGGCTAGATCAGATATGGATTTCCTACATGTCTTTCCAGATCTAGTCCTAGGCAAGCCTCTGATCATCACTGCTAATCGGAAAGATGCTATTGGTCCAATAAGATCGCGCACCATTTGGATTAAATCTTTGGAAATAATTTCCTCACTTTTCTTAGCATCTGCGGAGTAAGCATTTTTAATTAGTCAATATTATTTTGTATTTCGTCTATTCCAAGCAATACTTTTCTTAGTGACGAATAGGCACAATGGTATTTCTCCTTTGGTAGGTTCTGGAACACCGACGACTGTTGCATCTACTATATCAGGATGGGATAGGACTATATCTTCCATGGCCGACGTGGACAGCCTGTGGCCAGCGACGTTGATGACATCGTCATCTCTTGCAGTTACGTAGATATATCCAAATTCATCAATGTAACCAGCATCCATGGTATCATAATATCCCTAAAAACATATCATCTCGAAACAAATTGAATTTTGTGTATGAAATTACCGGAAATTTTCTGAAGTATAATTGACAAAACCTCTCTGGTGATTGGTAAAGTGTACTCATAGTGCCCGGAGGAAGTGGTAACTTAACCACGATTCTAGCCAATTCGTGGGGTTTCGCCTCGGTGCCATCATCTTTAAGTACTCTCACTAAAACTTAACATATTTAATTATTCTTTTATTAACATAATTACGTGACATACCGTCGTAACCTGGGAAAGGCATTCCTGCTGTGTATTTAGGAGGGGACAGGCTGTGACCCAAACCTACGCAAGTCGCGGTGATCGCATGTCCAGTTTCCGTCTGCCACCAATGATTTAGCACGGGTACATTGAAGATCTTCTCCACCCAAGATTTGGTATCATAATCGCAGTGTTCACCCGCGACAAAGATTCGCTTTAAGGATTTTAACGAGTAGCCTTTTCCGTATTCGACGTCCGGATCTTCCCGTTTGATGACGCGAAATGAGGTGGGCACTGTAAAAATTGCATTGACCTTGTGCTTGTCGATGATCCTAAAATCTTCCGGTTTAATCAAGTTCCGTATCCGCATTGATTAATTTTCTGAAGTTGTACCTGAAGTATTGACCCGGATCCGGCGTGCGATCCGGTTTTCCTTCGTACATAACGCTCGTGATACCATACAACAGAGGACCATAACATATGTAGGAATGACCAACGACCCAACCCAGGTCACTGGCTGACCACCAAACGTCATTTGGTCCCATTCCGTAGATCGTTTGCATGCTCCAGTTCAGGGTAACTATGTGGCCGCCGATGGGTCTCTGCACTCCCTTGGGGGCGTCTGAAACGGACTGCAATGCATCATCCATCTATTAATTAAGCTTCAACCGTATTACCTGTTGTTCCGGAAGTGTACAATATGTAGAGAGGTTCGTTAGCTTCGACTGGAACACATTTGTGCGGACCGGCCATTTTCAGTACATTGTCCCACGAAATGTCCATCTCGACGTCGAGCGGTGCGGTTTCCAAATTTCTTCTCTGGTAAATGATGCACTTCTCCGGTTTGTAAGAAGCCCACTCGATCGCCTCGTTTAAAATATCTTTATATCTAGTTTCAGAGCAAATATTCGGCCAGGTTAAATATTTCTAGTTCTATTTTGTGTTGTTGGAATTTAGTTGAGATATCGCACCTGATGATTCTGTGTGGCTCTATACCGCAGCTGGCGGCGATGATCACTTTCGGCTCGCAGTGTTCGATTCTGGTACACAGCTCACGAGCAGCGAATCCTAATTGAAATATTTGTTAATTGGATTACATTGTATTTATATGGACGTAGCGTGGATAAATTGGTTTGACTACCTCCGAAAACAACGGAATGCACAGCACCCAATCGGGCCGTGGCGAGCATCGCCATTATGGCTTCTGGAATGAGAGGCATGTAGATCAAAACCCTGTCTCCTTTCTCGATACCGAGGGCTGCTAATCCACCTGCCAAATGGGATACCTGCAGTCAAGTAAAACTCATGTACATAAGATTGCACAGACATAGGTTAAAGGGCATCACCTGGTCAAGCAGTTCGGCGTAAGTAATTTTGCGCACAGTCTTAGTTAGAGGACTGTCGTGGATCAAAGCTACTTTTGATCCTTTGCCCGCTTCCACGTGTCGATCGACTGCGTTGTAGCATGCGTTCAATTCGCCACCCACAAACCTACAAAACACAAACAGCGAGAAGATTTTAGGTAAGCACTAGAGGCCGGATCCATTATGTGTTACGCTAATTGATGTTTAATTTAATTTATTATTTACCATTTAGTAAATGGCTGATTGGTGTTGTCCAGTGCTTTATCCCAAGGCTTGCTCCAACTTATCAACTTGCCAATCTCCGACCAAAATTCCTCCGGCTCCTGAATCGATCTCCTAAACGTATCCTCATATAACTGACTATAATACGGGTTTTCTTTAATAATAACACCTGCTGGATATAACATAAGAAAAAAAAACAAATGTTTACGTGTTCATGGCAAGATGTTGCTAATGAGGTGTATTTTTTATTTTAGGATAGTGAAGAGGAGGACGAAGACGACGAGCTCAGCTCGGTGGGCTATCAGGACGAAACTGAAGCCGGAACTTCATATTGAAATGAATGCAGGCAGCATCGCAGCAAACAGGAGTCACGAATAGCAAAGATTTAAATGTATAGCTGATTTATATGTTTTTTGTTGTTGGGGAAGGAAGTTGTAAGGAATTGCGTCCGGTTTCACCCTGACGATAAAATATGTCAGTCACATGCCTGATCCCACTCAGTATAAGAAAAGAAATGGAGATTCACCTTCGCTTTCCCCATATAAATTGTATCTCATACTTTTAATCCTTGAGGCCACACCATCGGAAATCTTCTCATCACTCGTATCACCCAACATTTCTTCTAGGCTTCCTTTACGGACCTTTTCGTATAGTTATCCTTGCCACGGAACTCTTCGTATGTCGAACCACCGTTTGTATAGATAGATCTGTGTGTTTTTGTGTGTAGTTACGACGGTATATGAGTACAGAATCTAGTTTCGTTAGAGTTTTACTTACTGACTGACTGACTTATTTCTGCGGCAGAATATTAAAAGGCATTATGTAGACCCCCACCTTCCGATCGTCGGTAATTTACATTGGACAAGAAAGTTTAAATAATAAAAATTTCAATTCAAGGGCAAAAAATATACTAATAATAAAGGAAACAAAATGTTGGAAGAGAATAGCAATACAGTAGCACCTTCGTTCTAGAAAATTACAATTTTATTATTTGGATTTTCGTAAGCAATAACTCTTAATAGCGACGTATAAATATTTATGTTGATAGCAATTTCACTGAAACATTAGTACAGTAGATATCCCAATCTTATGTACTCTCAGTAATAAAAAGAAACATCTCCTTCAGCCCCCACATGTACCACCCTATTATTGTATACCATATACATGTACCTAAAAATAATGATGTTAACTAGTCCTTAAGAATGTTCCTATTGATTATTATTATTATTATTATTGAATAAATGCAGCAACCTAGTATTACTAGAAGTAGAACAATTATCGTGTGCATTTTCTTTTGATCCCTGTACCTCCGATGAACAATAAAATTGATGGATAGCAAAACAAAAAAAAAAGTGCAGTCAGTCCACACGTATATGCAAAACATCCATTTTCATTGTTTTATGACCTATGTCACCCGTCGAGCAAATACTAATAAATTTCACGCGAGAATAAATTAGAAGAAAAAATGTAGCAAAAATGAAACGGATTAATCTGTTACTCGCCGATAATATGAGTGCAGACAGATTTTGTGTGGCAGTTAAAAAAAATGTGAAGACTTCTTTACTGGATGAAGAGCGGCGCTTCGCGAGGTCGCATCTTTTGCGAAAGGATGTATTACAATGGCATTCGGTCAATAACAGGGGAATGAATATTGAATAGCGACCTGCTGACCCCCCCAGTGGAAACGAGTTGGCGTTGGGGCACCGGCATATCAATTTTGAACTTATTTTTACATCGTTTAATTAAAAGAGTTTTTGCCTTGCTTCCAAGAAATCTTTCATAATATTTGTGATACTTAGCTGCTGCTGTTCTAAGATTTTTCACGAATTGCTATATGAAGTGCAACGTTGATGTCAAGTGCGAAACGTTCCGATAATGATTACATTTTCCAATTAACCCGAGAGAAAAGTAATTAAGGAAAATTGGTTGAGTTTCTGTAGGAGAGAAGAAAACATTAAGTAAAGCGATATTTTATGCGTTCCCCGTGCGATTGATTACGTGTCCGATTATTCATCATTTTAAACCTGAACAATAAATCGCCCATAAATGTAAACTTATTTATAGCTCGATTTTATATTGGTACTATCTTTTTGTAGCTTGATGGAATCTGTTTGTTTAATACTCAATCCGTTACTATTATTGCGCTTTTCACGAGATTATATCATTTTGCCCCCGAGCATTAACCGTTTCATTATTCTCGACTGATTTAGTGTAATGAATTTATAAATTTTGGCCAAAGTAAGTAGAATAAATATTACTCAGTCTCATGAAAGCATATTTATAATGGTGCATATAAATCAATACAAATATATCTGCGTAATAATTATTGTGAACGATTTCAATGCCAGGCAGGCACAATTGCAAAATGATTATGTTTCACTGAAAAATACATATAATAATCAATTATCTTTGGGTATATATGCAAACGGCTAAAACCACAGTAATATATCGATATTTGCTGGATTTCCCAAATATTCAGCTTTCATATGCATCTTTTGAATTCATTCTGTGTATTATAGTTTTAGAGTAAATCAATGAAATG